TACATTATTACAAAATACTAAATACATATTTTTAATATGTAAGATATTTCTTCTGCTGGTTCCAGATTCCATATTTTTATTAATTCTCATTTTAGCCCGTCGAGTTTAACAGGAAAAAAGTCAAACGAAATAATACTTGGTGGTTTGAATAGCTTAAAGTCCGCTGCAACAACTGTGGTTAAAAAATTTGACGAAATAAAGGAAGCCATTTCAGCGACAAGTACGCCGGTGAAAAATAAGGAACGTGAACAAAAAATAGCTTACGGAGTATCGCATGAATCTCTAGATTCTCTCACTGATTCCATACAAGATCGAAACGAGATAAGGGCATCAGGTACAGAATATAAACTACGATAATGACAAATATCATATATTTCTAATATATTACGCAATAATGTTTATCTCTTTTTTTGCAATCAGGTGATGGAAATTTAGATTTGTGTCCACTATACGAGCTCGCAGAGTGTTTGTATCCAAAAGGTACTAGAGAGTTAGAGGAACGTCTTGCTATTGAGCTTGTGCTTTCCAGTGCCAGTAGATGCCATCATTGCGCCGCCATCCTGTACGATGAGGAGATAATGGCTGGTTGGCAGCCGGAAGATTCGAACTTAAATACAGTTTGTCAATATTGCGACAAAGCTACCGTACCTCTCCTCACAGCTACGATATTAGATTACAGGTGACTAAGCGATCATAACTGTAAGTGATATTGTCCTTGATAAAGTTATCATTAAGAATATATTTGTTTCATATAGATCCGAAGTAAGCGAGAAGAATAATGATCCTTTAATGGGAGCACTATTAGAATTATTGGATCAACCAAAAGAATCATTAGAACCGATAACCGTACCATACCTAAATCCATTAGTTTTGAGAAAAGAATTAGAAAGTGTGCTGAGTCAAGAGGGGGACGCATGTCTCACTAAGCACAGATTTATTCAAGAGCACCCGATAGTATATTGGAATTTGATATGGTACTTCGAAAGGATTAATCTAACGAGTCATCTACCTGATCTTTGGTTGGATAACGATAAGAATTCAGAACTTCAAAGAACTGTAGGATTGGTGGGCGTTAGAACCATGTGGGATAACGAACGACTCCACATGGATCGTTTGCCTATGTATCTCCAATGGAAATCAAATCCTACAGAAGACAGAACGTAAGTTTTAATAAATCATTTTTCAAATTATTAATAATATTTAAATTTCAAGTGTAAATAGGTATTTTGAAAGAATTAATTTAAATATATAAAAAGGAAGATTATCTGGATTAGAAAACGATCAGATTTATCTTTAAACAAATATATAAAACAAATAGTGGATAGTTACTAATTTTTTTCTTGCTTTAGATTGATGCAGGCAGTGATAACGTATGTCCGTTGCAACGACTTAGCGGAACCTATATTAAGAGTGGCCTTAGAAAGAAGTAAACATCAAACAGACGATCATCCGTTTTCTATATACAGAGATATTTTATTTCTGGCATTTACTGTATTAGGAAGAACGAATATTGATCAAGGTGAGTTATATATGTACATGATTAAAATATTACAATCTTTACAAAATAAACATTTCTAAAATAATTAATCCGATTATTAAAATATTATATTTATCAAGTTTGATTATGGCATTAGTCTGTCTAATAACAATTTTATTTTTACAGGCGTCTTCGACAGGGAATACAGTTTATCGCTAGAGAAATTTTCCGAAAACGATGAGAAGTTATTGCATAAAATTGATGCGCCGCCGACGATGATGTCAGTGTACTGCAGATATTACTTCAAGCAATTAAACGTGTGAGGATCACGCGAGCAGCCGTAATCCCGAAGATGCTTAAAAAAGATTATCCTGTTTGAGACATCGAAGGAGATGTGATATTGCGCGAATAACTCTCGCGAGTACAACATTCTGTACTTGCGCAATTGCGCACGAGACGAATATGCGCGCAAGGAACGATGTTAAAATAGATTTTATGACATCCCGAAACATCAACGGCGTCATCGGCTGCTACATGTTAAATGTTTATTAGCTAACGCGGAGGACTATTGATGTTATTGACGATAAATTATGCTCGACGGATCCGATCTACAGCACCGTTTCTCGAAATGCGATCGGCAAAGTATGCGGTCGGCGTCATAGCGCAGACACTGCGAACTAACGTTACCTCATCCTTGTTTTTTTTTTTTTTTCCCATAAGACTCCGCTTATTCGCTGACACCCGTGATACTTGTCTTTGCTTGCGCAAAAAAAAAAAAAACAGATCGTCGGATTCGAGCTCGCAGTTCTCGAACTTCGATCACACATGCACGCGAAAACTGACGGGAGTAGCTATCGGTTGCATCGATATCATTTTAATGCTAATTGCTAAACTGTGTCGGTTAACTCAGATTTCTTTATTACAGTGACAAAAGACTGTGATACAGAAATGGGAAAATTATTAACCAGACTAAGCTATCGACGTTACCGATCACGAGATCAGTCAGTGCAATAGAAGTTGAATAATAATATTTTTAACTAATCGTACATCTCTGATCTTCATATGTTTATAATATAATTGTTTTTAACAGTTATCGACTCTTTCTTTTTTTTAATTAATGAATCGGGTCGCGCATGCCTCTGTTTTGTAATTCAGTAACTTGTGCAGCGCATTAGCGATATCTAAGAGTACAACATTGAAAAGTGTTAAGTACCAAAGAATTTACGGACTGTAAAGCGACTGCAAGTTCAATTCCCTCCAGGTGTGCTGTGACCTTAAATACGTTTCAGTCCGACACGTAGTATCCGCGATGTAAAGAAAAAAAAAAAGGAGGCGGTGTTAAATGACGCACGCGCCTAATACCGACTATTTTTTTTACCGCGAAGAAGAGCGAGAGAGGAAGAGAAAGCGCGACGTGAAGTATAGCGTGTGACATGACGAAACGCAGTATTCTTTCCTTGTACTCTTAGGTAGAAACGATCGTTTATTACACGGCAAAACACAGCGTAAATATCGTTTTTCTGCGTCCTAGGTGAAAAGTGTTCTTCACAGGGCGTGATGCGTTGAACTCGACTATTTATCCTCGACGTAAATGCTTAGTGTGAGAGTGAATATTTTTATGAATTCTAGACAATTCAAAGCATTTGTAATAGATTAGCGAAACTTAGTTAGACGACGCTGCCCACGATTTATTCTTTATCGAAATGAGATGAAGAGATTATTCGTAGCAAGGGAAATTCACATGAACGCGGTTATTCAGTGCCCGTGCACTTTTCACCCTGGACAAAATGGATGAATGTGTTGTATATTCATTCATTACAATACTATGAATGTAGATTATGAAAATAAAGTCAGTTGAGGTATTTTACAAAGGTCGTCTATTTCGCTTTAAAAAGAGCTTCCCGCAATATCTGCCTTTTGTTTCAACTGAAATTAATTTCAATTTAACAAGTGTCATTTAATATAGAGCTTCTACATATTTCCTATAACTACTTCTATGAATTCCTTTAAAATTTTCATGTAAGAGAGAAGAATTAAATTTATTATAAAACGTTTTTTGTATACATCCTATTAATTTAATATTTTCGAAAAACTTATTAATTTTAAATATTAAAATGAGATTATCGAAAAGTATAAATATTTAGAAATATAAATTGATGAATATTACAAATATATGTTATCTAATTGTAAAAAGATATATAAGATTTCATAAATTATTAATTTTTCGATAACCTCGCTTTAATAATTTTTATGCGAAATAATGTAAAGTAGAGAATCAGTTTTTGTAAAAAAGGAACAAATTCTATATAAGATAAAGAAATATATATAAAAAATATGTATACATTAATTTTTTTATAGTAAGAAATAACGCGAAAATTAAATTGCACAAGATAAAAAAAAATAAAAATTACCAAAAAAAAATATTTTGATAAGAAATTACTCAAATTCAATTAAAATTTCGCGGTTTTCGAAAAGGATTATATTGAAGTAGGCTACAATTTTGAATTTCGAGCTAATTCTCGACGTTAGAACATTTGTTCAACGAAGAAAACGGCTCACTTCAGTTTGCTCGAGTGAAATTGATTCGCGTTATCTTTTGTCGAAAACCTCATCCGATCGGCTTAGAAATATCATCATTTTGAATTATCAAAGTATTATTTGAGCACTAGAACAATAATATCATCTGAATAAATTTAAATATATAATATAAAAACGTTCACCAAAATGTATTCGACAAACGGAAATGCGAAGTGGTGCGTCACGAAGCCGCTCGTTTTTCGTCGCAGAGTGTACCGTGCGTCGTTCGGTCGTTTCATTAATATCCGCTTTCTCACGTCGTTGTCTCCAAATCGGGCCAAATATTCTCGCTTACAACGGCGAGCACGTAACCGTTTCGTTCGAGAGAACGTATGAACGGCGCGGAGCCGAGCGCAGCCGAGCGACCGTCGGAGATGACCGACGTGACATTTCCCGTCGCGCGTCGGCTTTCCTGCGCCCGACTTCACTCCACTAAATTCACTCGGGTCCGAGCGAACGAAGGTGGTGGTAGGTTCGCGCGCACTGTATCTTTCGTACACCTATAGATACCGCCGTTTCATTTCCACGCGATTACGCACGCGTGTGTATTCGTGTATGCGTGCGCCCAGCGGCGGCGAATTCGGAGGGGTAGGAAGGCTGAGGAAGGCCAGCCAGGAAGAGCGGAGCAGTCGTCGCGCGCGGCAGTAGTGCGTTGCGTGTGACGGTCGTCGGGTCGTCGTACTCGTCGTCGCCGAACCGGACGATACCAACACACGGTGGTGACATGTTCGCCAGACGTTGATTCGCGCGCGAGACTCTCGTAAAGTACGAGGCACGACCGCGCGTGACGGGATAACGCACCGGTATAGTGTATATATACGAGTGCGAGTGCGAAACCGGACCTCCTCCCGTTCCCTCCCGCCTGCCCGCGTTGACATCGCCGTTCGGCGAACAAGAGGAAGAGGGAAACAGGAGAAAAAGAGAAGAGAGAATTATCGCGTCCGGCATGTACTCCGACGGCCACGAGGTGGACGGCAGCTGGGTGCTGCGCGTCTACGTGACGGATCTGCAGGTCGAAAGGAGTTTACGCGTGAAGGGAGAGCTGCACATCGGCGGTGTCATGCTGCGCCTCGTGGAAGATCTCGGTGAGTACCCTCTACCGAGTCTCTCTCTCTCTCTCTCTCTCTCTCTCTCTCTCTCTCTATTTCTTGATCTTATGTTTTTATTCCCCACTTTCTTTCGTCGCGACTTCTACACTTCTCGACTTCCTAATGTAGCCGCTGGACTTTGATCTTTCTCGCGTTCATATTTGAATGTGTACATACACGATACGTCTCGATGCGTGGAACAGGTGGAATTTGAACTTGTCGGCTAGCGCGATGCGACGATTGCTGCAATTTTGAAGTACCCGGCAAAATGGCGCGCATGTATCGTGCACGCTTAATTCAAAGCGGAGCGATGCCTGTCACTTCGCAATTTTGTAGACCGAAAATGTTCGTTGCGAGAGAGAGATCGAAGAAGTAATCTTACGCTTCTGGATAATATTTTATATATATGAAAGAAATAAGGAATGGAATCGCGCGATCGTTAAGTCAGTTCAACATGCCGCATGCAGTTATGACAGATCTAAACTTAGTAGGTGCAGTCATTACGAAAAATGGCAAAGTTTAATTTAAATTCTTTAGCCAATTTCTTCTTAAAATTTCTTGCATTTGCTTAAACATTAATTTGAGAGCCATGATATATCATATATTTTAATAATATGTTACATTTTATTACATATTTTAGACATATATTTGAGTACAAAAAATGATTAAATCTTAATTTTAAAAGAGAAATCAATAATTAAACATTAAACTTTTTAATTTTTCTCTCAATACACTTATTTATATTTGTTATTAAGTAAATAGTAAATATATTAATTCGAGAGTCACGTAGATAAAAAATATAGTAGTTCATATATAGCATTGATTTTATTTTATTTTAATATTTAATCATTTATATTTTTTTAAACAGAAAAATAATTTAAAATTTTAAAGGACCGTCAATGTAACAACATAACTAATACGAATCAAAGCCTATAACAGTCTAGTTGGATCTTAGTTGCTTATATATAAATAGAAAAATAATTGATACTAACGGATTTTGCATTTCTCGATTTTCTGCAAAATGAACAAATAACAAAAAAACTTCAGCTTTAACCACTTTAACCACCGATTAACGATTTTTTTTTTTTGGTAAACCGGTTAATTTTACGATGCTGAAAACATTGATCGTCTTTGCATCGGCAATTAGCCAAGCCGATGCAGGACGGTTTTATCCTCGTCGAATTAGCTAATTTCGAACGATTGATTGAACAAGCCGGTTCCCATATCCATCCGCACACTGGGTGGTCCGTTATTGCTGATACAATCGGAAAAACCGGTGGGAAAGATATAAAAAGTCAAAAGATAGAATAAGTACTTAACTCATAAAGCTTGTACGTAAAATTTTACTGTATTCTATATTTCAACACTTTCAATTTTTTATCTGCATTTGATGCTTTATACATACACAAATTTGAGAAGTCCAAAGAAAGAAACGGAAGAGCTAGAGGGGAAGAGAGAGAGAGATATATGCAATTTTTTTCACCGAGCCTGCTTTTGTTCGCGAAAGTTTGTTCGTTTTCGCGAAATAAATTTTCGCGCGGCATGGAGAACGCGGTGGTATAAAATTGCCGAACAACGTTAAGCGAGGAAACGCTTCCGGTGAGAGAACAATTTTAACGCATTGTTTACCTGACGGCTGTGCGATAAGAACTAACTTGTATCTCTCGTGTGACTCCCCCCGAGTGCGATAATGGTAATCTGTCGAGTATTTTCACTGATATTCTTCTTTTCGTTCAACGGATGCACATCATATTTCGGCAAATAAATCAATGCGTTGAAACGCGCGTCTTTAATACAAAATTAAAACTCCAAACAATTTAAGATCGCAATAATTATTTATGCATATCGACGCAAAGAAACGTTTAAAGGTTTTTTTTAGGAGATACATATTGAACAGCCGTACGTTTATTTAGCTTGTGGTAGCATTTTTACTTAAATCTGATTATTTTACGCAGATAAATGGCATTTTTTGTTTCCGAAGAGAAAATCTCGTTTTGATTTGGAAAATGATTTTTTTATGATTTTCCGATTTTGCTTCGTCCAAGACGATTGTGTTTCGCAGGGGAGAATTACTCCCATCCTCATCCGCGGTCTAAGTAAAGTATTTATCCCAATAATGCCGAGCTCTTCGCATGATGCGGAAACCGCCGTGACTCATGAATACGTTATGACGTGAAGTAACGAGTGCAAATGCATTATTCAATCGCGTTTCCGCGAAATCGCCGTGACCCTGGAGGGATGAAATCGCGTATGGACGTCGTTGAAAAAAAATCATTAACATCATTTTTGAGAATTCATTGTTCGCGATATATTTTTAAAAACGTCGAAGATTAAGTAATGTATATTTTTGATATCCCATAATTAATTCTGTCATAATTAATTAAACCTCGTTTCAATAACGTTGATGCACTGAAAGAAAACGATTTCGCTGAAGTATCTAAAAATTTAGCTAGATACAGATCTGAAAATAATTATGTAGGATACTCAAATTAATTACTAGAATGTTATTAACTATTATAATATGTTTCTACAGCATTTCTCATCATGCTTGAGATTTCTATATAAATATTTCGATAATTTGTAATTTTTAAAGATCTTATTAAAGCGTTTTATTAAATTTATGTTGTTCGATAAGTTTACTTGGCTCTTCGCCCTTCTTATATTTGTATTGTTTCGATAATTTGTTTCAAAAAAATTATTTTAAATCTGTGTATTTAGTTAAAGCTTTTGATTCTTTAGCAAAATCGTTCTTTCCGTGCGTGAATATCAATTCCGTTTAGTTTACAGTAACGGTGTTCAAATCTAATAATTATTCAAATTTGAGAACATCCGGGAAATAATCAATTTTTAAGGGAAAAGGGCGTCAGACATCAGATACGATGCGAAGCCAGGTAGAAAAATCCGGCAGCCATATCTTTTGTTGACTGGTCCTCTTACCTTTTTTTGCTCCGCTGCGCTGGATCCAACAGGTTAGCGTGGCCATGCAGGTTCTCGCCGCATCTCGCCACTCGACGATTCCGAACCGGACCGACGCGTATTACCGGCCTACGTGTGGTTGAGTTTTATGTAAATACACCGGGTGTCCCGGAGTGCACGTAGCCACGATCCGACGTATCGCAATGGGTCACTCGAGCGATTTTCAGTCGAGTGTGCGGGGCATTGTAACAAAAAAAAAAAGAGAGATTCATTTAGAGAGTACATGAGAAATGTTGAGAAAATTTAATAATAAAAGGAACACTTAATCGACACACGTCGGTAGTACATGATCCTCAAATTGGAGGAGTTAACTGATTTTGGCAAGATAAATGATTTTTGACAGTGTATTTATATCTGAGAAGCGAAAGGTATAACTAACAAAATAATCTGTTTCTGAGGAATAAATACTATATTACAAAAATTACTAAAGCAGCTTTGCAACTGTTGTAAAATTCTTTAATATAATTGATCTTGCTCTTATAGTTCTTCACTCTATCATCTAAATGTTTGAATCAAATGAAAATTCAAGAATTTTACAACAATTTCAGAGCTGCTGAATGCAATCGATGAATGAAGTGATTGAGATAATTTTGAGGCAAAAAGGACAATGTCCAGAAAATGGAGCGAAGGAACTATAGAACATTCAAGTATAGGACGCCTGCCCTCTGCCTGTAACAAAAGACGCGACAAAATACCATATGGCCGATCGATGTCGAAAGATTTTTACATAACGAAGAATATTTAAATGGTGATACGAGTTGAGAAATTCGGTCAAATATATATAGAAGCTATTATAATTATTAAATCGAGTATAACAATACTCTAAATATATCTAAAAATATATTTCGGTATGTTGTCCTTTTATCAGAGAGAGAATGTTTATCAGTCACAAAAATTTAAATTATAAACGGTGTCTGTTTTTTATAAAAGTGCTTAGATGAAGCTAATACAGCAGATAACAATAACACGGTGTTAGGCGAGAGTCGCGCCTACGGAATAACATCTCGATCAGCTGTCTGTCCTTTTTTAGTCATTCTGATTTGTCCATTCCATAAATTCCGCACTACAATGCGTAAACACATTGCGTAAGCAAAGTCTTCAAAGTAACTTGATCATATTTCGCGTTATGCAATATTCATTGGCACGTTGCGAAATGGAAATTTCCCGTTTCGCGAAATTTTATCTTGTCTCTCAAGAGGCTTGAGATATATTTAGAATCATATTTAATTATAATCGTGCTTGTTATATTCAATTATGATACCATAATCCTGCGATTTTCCGTCGAAGATTAGATCGTATATGTTACAGAAGATAATTGAAATTTCCAATGGCGGTCGGCCACGTTTAGCGAGCATTCTCGTTCGGTTAGGTCGCTCGTTTGTTATCGAAATCAGCTTCGTATAATTGACGCTCGCTGGTCAGACACGTGGTTTCGTGGGGAGAAAAAGTCGAGATACCCGAGCCGATGTACCGTACGTCAGTAACTCGACGACAAGACTGCATTCTTCTTACTGGCTCTTCCGCGAAGCCGAAGCCGAAGCCCCGGCAATGTCATTGCAGGGCTCCTTTTCGTCACACCGTAAATTCCGGGATTCTGAATTTAAAGTGCACGCGCGCCACGCAATTGTCTAATTAAAAGCTAAAAGTCGCGAACACGTCAAAATTCTAATCAGAAGACACTTTAATGTTAAAAAGTCATTTAAATCGCCGTTGCTTCAAACTCTTCAATTTTAAGACGCAGTCCCTTCGACGACTCTACGAATTTTTGGAGTAAATTTTACTTCGCTCTGCGTTCACGGATGGCAAGTTCTTTTGTCTCTGATACGCCATCCATGAATTTTTCACGACGTCTCGTCTCGTTGTCAGATAAAAAGAATGCGAAGGGAAAGGAAAGGGAGAAAAGAACACGCAATGGCTACCGCACGCGAATTTTCATGTGGATTTCCTTCAAAGTGACAAGCAGGCGAAGGTGAAATCCGAAGGTCGGCTCAGTACGAAGCTATTAAGTTGAATTATCTGCT